TTCCTTGGCTGATCCACAACACTGTTCCAACACTGCCCTCTTGCTGTGACAGTGGGAAGCCAAGCCAGAGGCCCGGGTTCCAACTGGGGGTTTCACTCATCAGGACTATTACATTATCGGAGGCAGTGACCCATTAACAGAGCAGCGCTATTGATTGAGTGCCTACTCAAGATGGAAGACACTGCTCATGCAAATACAGGAGCCATTTTTAAAACCTGGACAACCTGCAGAACTGAGATTTAGGTAGAGTACATTGACAACGTAGCACTTTGCCTCAGGACTAACATAACGTAGCAGGCGTAAAAGAAATGCCTGACGGGGTCCCCACATCTGGTTTTCAGGGGTAAAGGAAGTTAAATTGAAGATAATGTATCCCTGAAAACCGGATGTTTCCGGTTCTCCCCAACCCGCTGAGGGTGCCTCAGGACAGGTGTGAGTCTATATAGAGCTCCAGCTCAGCAGGGGACTTCATAACCTTGCAGTGGCGAAGTTCATAAGCCCACGGAGTGTATGGAAATTTAACGAGGTCATTGAAAGATTAATACAGCTTTGTACACGATTTTCACCGCTGTTGAGAGTGTGAATCCACATAAGGAAACTGACAAGACTTTTGAAGCATATAGCTACTAGCAACACTCTATTTCCATTAGTCTGGCTACTAGTACCAACCAAATGTAGACATTGCAGTATAATGGTATTATAGAGGAGTTTTCGAGCATGTACTGCATTATTTTTACAACGCTACACTGAGAGCAGCTGTGGCTGAAGAGCCTAAGGCTTTATCCTTGGTTATGGAATTCCGACGTCTCTTTTTGCCTAACCATTATTATCTGCTAATTCAAGTAAACAGACCTTACTCAGTGGAGCAATGCTAATTGTGCTGCAGCACTGATGTAATGACATAATCTTTCATAAATACATTTTACAACATATAAATCATAGTCCCCCTGTGCCCCATACAGTTGGATTCATGCAGCTTTTGAGGATATCATGCATGCATGTAAGAGTTCCCATTTGGGTTGTAAACCTCAAAACCTGCCTTTGCATTTTCCACTGTACATCTGCTATTTTGCTGCACATAGCCTACAAGGCAGGTATCCAGGAGAGTTCTGGCCAGTTTTGGGGACTTTAGTATATCCCTGACCCATAATCTTTCGGCCTCAGCTCTGAATCTAAGCTATTGGGTTTATGGAGGTGGGTTCCTGTACAAGTCTCCCCCTGATGAGAGAACCAGAAAAAAATCCTCCCCAAAGAAAGATTAATCTCGACACCGGGACAATAAACATGAATTTGGGGTAACTGAAAGATATTAATGATTTCTAATCATTACAGACAATCGTATAGGCTGCATAACCCCTTTCAATCGACATCCATCGTCATCATCCGTTAAAGGAAAATTCAAGATATATGACTTTCAAAATACAGAAATACAGCCAGTATGATGCATTTTGCATCATATGATGCAAAACGGAGCATCCTATGATGCAAAATCTATCATACTGGCTGTATTTCTTCAAGTTACATATCTTGAAAACTTGATTGCTGACATGCAAAACATGTTGGGACTATATCAACAATGGACTAATGAAACAAATACCAAAATATAGTTTTTGGGTGGAATTTTCCTTTAAAGGCATATTTTCTGAACATAATACTGGTATGGAGCTTCTTATATTGTTTAATGAATTCTAATGGCATTTTATCATAGGCCTACAGTCATTTACATAGCCACCAGGGTCAAGAGACAGGTGGTGTTAGGTTGGCTATTGACTATATTCGATCAAATATATGATGAAATCATATGAAATTCATGAAGACATTGATCAATGATTATTAGCCTTTTTAAAGATGATAGGCCATGCAACTAAAATGTCTAATTGGCTGCAGAATTAACATTGACAGCAGATTTGAATCAAAAGGATCTGAGAATTATTAATATGTTGTTATGCATTTTCCATTAATTTATTCCATGATATGAACCCATTTCAAACAGACGCAACACGCAAAGAAATAGGCTATTAAATCCCTAAGAAATAGTTTATTTTAATAATCTAGAAAACTATCCGACTACATAATATGCAAATAAAATACAACAGAATACTCACCCAAAATTCCAACAACTAAAAGTTTCAACACAGCCAAAGCATTTGTATCCATCACGTCGTGAATAAAGGTCCCACACACACGATTCAGATGCATTCAATGATATCTCAGCTGGGAGATAAATGTCTGTGGCAAACCATAATTATCCAAATTCACTGAAAGCACCGGCGCGCAAGTTCCTTCATAGTTCACGAGTCTGTCGTCACAAAATTGCCAGCCCGTGTTCGAAACTTCGAACTCCGCCACACCTCCTCAAATCTGGCCCCTCCGATCAAACCTCCACATGAGCTTGCCTGCACATCTCGTTGTTAAAATGACTTCTGCGCTCCCTTGCATCCTTTCAGACGGATGGTGGGAGGGAGGGAGAAAGGAGGAGAGAGGGAGGGAGAAAGGAGGAGAGAGGAAGAGAGAGGAAGGGAGAGGAAGGGGACGATCTATCTCATTCCATATGCAAGAAAGCATGAAATGGACAATTTAATATGAATGATATGATAACGATTTTACTGTGTGACTCATTTACATTTTATAATGGCTTTCTCTGCATTGTTGGGAAGGGCCCTTAAGTAAGCATTTAACTCTTAGTCCATACCTGCTGTTTATGAAGCATGTGACGAATAACATTTGATTTGATTAGAAGAATAAGACGTTTTACGCTTTTGTAAATGCTTTATAGATTATTACATTACATTTTATATTGGATTATTAATTCTTATGCAATGTTTTTGAATGCTATAATATTTCTATACATGTCCATAAATGTTAATAAATAATTAAATACTTGTTTATTAATAGGTCTACTATGTAGGCCTACGCTAGGCTATATTTAGATGTGTCATGAAAGTTATTATAAAATATTACCGCCTATACCTAAGGAAAAGTAGCCTAGTATAAAATAAAAACAACATTTTGCTTAGCGCCCCCAAAAGGCTCTGACTGTATGTGTGGGTATGGATGTGGGTACGCAGACCCACGAGCCACTGTGGCCCCTCGTGATGAGTTCAGATTTGTTGTGGCCCCCACCCCCATCAAAGTGGCCCATCCCTGATCTAGGCCATCTTCTACATTATTATCCAAACATTTTAACCTGTCAAATGCTGTAATTCAAAGAAATGCATGCAAGATCAAATCCATAGCTTATGTTGGGAATATCAAAAAAGTACTTCAAACTATATCAAATTGTACAAAGTTTAGATATTCATTTTCATAAAGATGCAAATGCTTTATTTGACTCAGGGATTCCATCCAGGAATAAAAGCAACCCGAGCGCTATCTTGAGGATTACCTGAGAAATGTCTCAGTGGGAGAGTTTGAAATGAGGGGAGGGCTGGAGTGAGTGGGGAATGGCGTCCCTTGAGAAGGCAAGAACGACATGTATGTCAGGAGAAGTGCAGTATTATCATAAGGAGACGTATACTTGGATTACGGAGGAGGAATGGAGGGAAAAAGAGAGGCAGAGGAAGTTGAAGAGAGAGAGGGAGGAAGAGGGTGAGCTTGAATTGGTAAAAAATTGAGGGAAAAAGGGAGATGGTTTGTTGAAGAAGAATGGTAGAAAGTGTAAGAAGAGTGAGCTGTACGCCGGATTAAATACAAGAGGAGAAATGGAAGTGAATGAGGGCAAAGTATCGGAGGTGGTAGGTATGGTGAAGTTCTCAGAGCCCGAGGCTTGCACCGAGGTTCAGGAAAAAGATGAGTCTGTGATGATAGGAGTGAAATGTTTTGAAAAAGTGGACCCTTGCCTTTTGGCTGATCCATTTGTGGTTTCAGGGTGTGTGAAAACGGAGTTAGGTGCTTTGGAATAGTGAAGGTAACCCGAAGTGGTCTTGTGATAATTGTTTGTGTTTCTGTTGGTCAGAGGGAGCAGGCGCTCTGCATCACGCCATTGAAAGGATTGATTATTGGGGTAGTGGTAAATGTGAAAGTGGACCAACTGAAGGGGAAGATTCCTGGTGTTTGTGATGCTCGTCGTTTGGTGCGACACAGACAGGGTGGCGTGAGTGGAGAAACAGAAAAGTCGTTGTCTGTTCTTTTGAGTTCTGATGTTGAATCTTTGCCCGACAAAGTGATGTTAGGATATGTCAGTTATCCCGTACAAGCTTTTGTACCGAATACATTGCGTTGTTACAGGTGTCAAGCTTATGGGCATGTGGCAGCTGTGTGTAGGAGGGAGGTTCCTAGGTGTGAGAAGTGTGCAGAAGGCCATGAGACAAAGGTATGTGTAGCATTGGGGAAAGAAGCGGTATGTGTTAATTGTAAAGGTGCCCATGGGGCTGGGGATCAGAAATGTCCGGTGAGAGGCAGGTTGAGGTTACCAGGTACCAGTACCAGTAATGCAGAAGTTGTCATATGCTGAGGGAGTGAAGAAAGTAGAGGAAGATGGGTGAAGGGGGAGGGATCCTTTGAGGAGTGGTGTGAGTAGTAGATCTGAACTAGTACAGAGGGATAGGCCGACAAGTGATATATGCTTCAGTAAGATTGGATTTTTAGCGTTTACAGCAATGGTTATCAACTGTACTGCAGGGATGGAATGTAAGTCGCAGAAGATTGAGGTTGTGGTGGCAGCTGCAGAGAAGTATTTGGGTGTATGAGCTTTTATGTCAGAAGAGTTACGTTGTGTGTTGAGTAGTGGTGTCCCGTCCTTTCAGGCTGTTGGCCTGAGGTACGACTAGATAGATTTAGTGGAGTAGGGTGGTGGGTTTTTAATGAGTGTAGGGTTAGATGGTATTTCTTCTCTTTTTTTCAAGCAAAGTATAAGGGAGTTATACTCCAGTCTAGTTGGTGGCAGTAATGCAACATTTTTTGGATGCCAACCGCCGTTAAACCTCATCGAAGAAGAAGAAACGTCTCAGTGCAGCCAAATGAAATAGGAAATGAAAAGGCAAAATACTTGTTTCTCCGGGAAAGTATAACGGGGAAGTACCATTGGCGCGCGGGCCAAATTGACCGTCACAACAAAACTTTTTGCTCTATACTACTCTCGCAGGAAATATTAGTTTTTTTTTTCCCAGTTAGAATAAAATTGAAGATGAAGTTCCGAGCAAAAATTATTGATGTTGGTTGTCTTAATCATTTCACACGTAAGTCCTCTACTGTAATGTTGCTCTTGTGTAGCTAGCTAGTATTAAGCATTGATTGCTAGCTAATAACGTCAGCAGCTAGGCTAACTAGGCTTCACATAAAGATGAACAATTATACCAACTACTTGCTATCAAGCGTTACGTGTTTCACTTGCAAGAGAAAATGAATGGTTGGTGCGGGTGCTGTCTGTTGGTTCTAAATCAAAGAAGTGGGCTGTTTACTAAACTAGCTCAAAGACACTGATACAAAGATTTGTATAACTAACTTTAAACCTCATTGTTCTATCTGTGACTGATAGAACATCTTTTCCAAAGAGGATTGACCATGACCAACCGTCTCTGACTCGGTTTTGGTTAGATGGATACAGCCTTTGTCAGAATGGACTTTTCGTGACAGGATACTTACGCAGTAGGTTAGGTAAATTAACGTAGCAGGTAAGGATAATTCTGTTAAGGTTAGGGAAAGGGTTAGCTAAAATGCAACAACAACAAAAAATCATTTGCCCAACGAGACGAGATTTGGAAGATGACCTCGCGACATGACATGTTTATCAATTGAACCCTGTACCGACCAAGAGGTAAACAGGCAATTTCTATGCTTAAGGTCCAGACAGGGTAGAGATAGACAGAACCCCTCATGAATTTTCTCTTGCGAGTCGAACATGCAACACTTGCTAGCATTTCACTTTCATTTCTCCCCATCAGGTGTGGTGAATACCATCTCTAAACTAACGAAGACATGCATCCTGCGACTAACTCCACACAACCTATATTTTGTACTGTCTGGTAAGGTAGCCAGCGGAGGAGTCGGCATGTGGTGTGAATTATCTCAGGTACATGCCCATGCAATACAATATGTCTATTTCTACCAATGAGTTGTACTTTGATAGCTCACACAATTATGTTTTTAATACTCTCAATTGTTACATGTAGGGCTATGTATTATGCATTGGACACTGTTGTCCACTCTTTTAAAAGTAATTTCGCATGTGAAAGGAGCAGAACAGAAACTCCATTATATGGAAATAACCTCTTTTAGAATCTGAAAGTGAAATAAATACTTAGTCTCGTCTCTAACATGTAGGCTCGGCATTCCCGAACAATCCCATTCCAATCAAATACAATTGTATTTGTCACATGCACCGAATACAACAGGTGTAGACCTTACCGTGAAATGCTTACTTACAAGCCCTTAACCAACAATGCAGTTTTAAGAAAAATAAGAGTAAAGAAAATATTTACTAAATAAACTAAAGTTTAAAAAAATAAGAGTAACAATTAAATAACAATAACGAGGATATATACGGGGGGTACCGGTACAAGTCAATGTGCGGGGGTACAGGTTAGTCGAGGTAATATGTACATGTCGGTAAGGGTAAAGTGACTATGCATAGATAATAAACAGCGAGTAGCAGCAATGTAAAGGGGGGAGGGTCAATCAATGCAAATAGTCCGGATAGCCATTTGATTAGCTGTTCAGCAGTCTAATGGCTTGGGGGTAGAAGCTGTTAAGAAGCCTTTTTGACCTAGACTTGGCGCTCCGGTACCGCTTGCCGTGAGGTAGCAGAGAGAACAGTCTATGACCAGGGTGGCTGGAGTCTTTGGCAATTTTTAGGGCTTTCCTCTGACACCGCCTAGTATAGAGGTCCTGGATGGCAGGAAGTTTGACCCTAGTGATGTACTGGGCTGTACGCACTACCCTCTGTAGCACCTTGCGGTCGGAGGCCGAGGAGTTGCCATACCAGGCGGTGATGCAACAAGTCAGGATGCTCGCGATGGTGCAGCTGTTTAACTTTTTGAAGATCTCAATCTTTTCTGTCTCCTGAGGTGGAATAGGCCTTGTCGTGCCTTCTTCACGACGGTCTTGGTGTGTTTGGACCATGATAGTTTGTTGGTGATGTGGACACCAAGGAACTTGACGCTCTCAACCTGCTCCACTACAGCCCTGTCGATGAGAATGGGAGCGTGCTCGGTCCTCCTTTTCCTGTAGTCCACGATCATCTATTTTGTCTTGATCACGTTGAGGGAGAGGTTGTTGTCCTGGTACCACACTTCCATGTCTCTGACCTCCCTATAGGCTGTCTCATCATTATCGGTGATCAGTCCTACTACCGTTGTGTCGTCGGCAAACTTAATGATGGTGTTGGAGTCGTGCGCGGCCACACAGTCATGAGTGAACAGGGAGTACAGGAGGGGACTGAGCACGCACCCCTGAGGGGCCCCCATGTTGAAGATCAGTGTGGCAGATGTTGTTGCCTATCCTTAACACCTGGGTGGCGGCCCGTCAGGAAGTCCAGGATCCAGTTGCAGAGGGAGTTGTTTAGTCCCAGGGTCCTTAGCTTAGTGATGAGCTTTGAGGACACTATGGTGTTGAACGCTGAGCTGTAGTCAATGAACAGCATTCTCACGTAGGTGTTACTTTTGTCCAGGTGGGAAAGGGCAGTGTGGAGTGCAATAGAGATTGCATCATCTGTGGATCTGTTGGGGTGGTATGCGAATTGGAGTGGGTCTATGGTTTCTGGGATGATGGTGTTGATGTGAGCCATGACCAGCCTTTCAAAGCACTTCATGGCTACAGACGTGAGTGCTACGGGTCGGTAGTCATTTAGGCAGGTTCCCTTGGTATTCTTGGGCACAGGGACTATGGTGGTCTGCTTGAAACATGTAGGTATTACAGACTTGGTCAGGGACAGGTTGAAATGTCAGTGAAGACACTTGCCAGTTGGTCAGTGTATGCTCTGAGTACACGTCCTGTTAATCCGTCTGGCCCTGCAGCCTTGTGAATGTTGCCTGTGTAAAGGACTCACTCACATCAGCTACGGAGAGCGTGATCACAGTCGGCCGGAACAGCTGGTCATCTCATGCATACTTCAATGTTGCTTGACTGGGCTTCCCTTTGTAGTCCGTAATAGTTTGCAAGCCCTGCCACATCCGACGAGTGTCAGAGCCGGTGTAGTGCGATTAAATCTTAGTCCTGTATTGAAGCTTTGCCTGTTTGATGGTTCGCCGCAGGGCATAGCGGGATTTCTTGTAAGCGTGTGGGTTAGAGTCCCGCTCCTTGAAAGTGGCAGCTCTACCCTTTAGCTCAGTGCGGATGTTGCCTGTAATCCATGGCTTCTGGTTGGGATATGTACATACGGTCACTGTGGGGATGACGTTATAGATGCACTTATTGATAAAGCCGATGACTGATGTGGTGTACTCCTCAATGCCATCGGAAGAATCCCGGAACATATTCCAGTCTGTGCTAGCAAAACAGTCCTGTAGCTTAGCATCTGCATCATCTGACCACTTCCATATTGAGCAAGTCACTGGTACGTCCTGCTTTAGTTTTTGCTTGTAAGCAGGAATCAGGAGGATATAATTATGGTCAGATTTGCCAAATGGAGGGCGAGGGAGAGCTTTGTACGCGTCTCTGTGTGTGGAGTAAAGGTAGTCTAGTTTTTTTCCTCTGGTTGCACATGTGACATGCTGGTAAAAGTTAGGTAAAACGGATTTAAGTTTCCCTGCATTAAAGTCCCCGGCCACTAGGAGCGCCGCCTCTGGATGAGCATTTTCTTGTTTGCTAATGGCCTTTATACCGCTCGTTGAGTGCGATCTTAGTGCCAGCATCGATTTGTGGTGGTAAATACACAGCTACGAAAAATATAGATGAAAACTCTCTTGGTAAATAGTGTGGTCTACAGCTTATCATGAGATACTCTACCTCAGGCGAGCAAAACCTAGAGACTTCTTTAATATTAGATTTTGCGCACCAGCTGTTATTGACAAATAGACACAGACCACCATCCCTTGTCTTACTGGAGGCAGCTGTTCTGTCTTGCCAATGCACAGAAAACCCAGCCAACTGTATATTATCCATGTCGTCGTTCATCCACGACTCGGTGAAACATAAGGTGTTACAGTTTTTTATGTCCCGTTGGTAGGATAGTCTTGAACGAACTCATCCAGTTTATTCTCCAATCATTACAAGTCAGAATGTTGAAATGGTGAAAACTTAATTTCAACTTACTTTACCTGTTGTCCACCGATTTTGTCCCTATGCTGGAGGTAATGTGAGACAAAATATCCACAGGGAAGCGTTATCAACCTGCTGGTCTGTATATTGTTTTTTTGCACGTGGCAAACACTTGCACAATAACACTTGCACAATAGAGACTCTTGTGTTCACTAGTGTCTGCTCTATACTTATCCAACAAGCCATTCTCCATTTGTATTGTATTTGTCCAGGCCAACTTCTTTGATGAGTATCAGCTGGAAGGTGTGGCGCCCGACACTAATGAGATCTGCCTAGAGGTGACCCCTGAGAACCTGTCCAGGGCTCTGAGAACCTCTCAGAATGCCAAGTGTGTGAAGATCAAGCTAACCAAGAAGCACTGTCCTTGTCTCACTCTCGCTGCAGACCTGGTAAGAGTTACAGCAATTACATCCAATTTGTCTGCTTCAAAACTATCAACACTCACTGGGCTGTGTTGATTTTGATGTGTAATTCTGTTGACTATATTGTCCATGTTTGTAAGTGACTACTTTGACATGTCAGTCAGTATATAACACTTTTCTAACAAACAGGCTTACATTTAACACAAAATAAATGAAACTATGTCTTAACCCCCTTAAAAGCAAGAAAACTTCTCCAGGTAGGAAATAACCTTGAGGGGAACCAAACTTCATAGAGGCAGCTCATCCTCCTCTGGCTGGCTGTCTAGAAGTTTGAATACGTCAGCAAGGCCTAACACCAGCGAAGAAGTTAAGTCATTTTATCTTTCCCCGCCCTCTTATTCTTCCCTGTTAGCCGACACTTTCCAGCATCAGTCGAGTTGTCACCCATGACATCCCGGTGGACGTGATACCCAGAAGGCTTTGGCATGACTTCAAAGAGCCCAGCATGCCAGACTTTGACGTGAGTACCAGAGCCACTGGATCCCGGTCTCGTTCTGCCGTAGCCAACTCTAAAGCAGAACCAGACTGGCATCCAGGCAAGTCCTCTGAAGTAATGCCAATTTAACACATCAGGTGGACTGTTATTTAATTTGTTGTAATGATACCTATATCAAATGCTTTGCAGGTGAGCATATATTTGCCTCCACTGAAGACTATGAAAAATGTTGTGGATCGAATGAAGAATCTTTCTAACTTTCTGGTAAGAGACCGTTTACCATGAGCTCAGATAATTTTACACATGCCCCCAACATGCTTTGATATATTTGTTAAAATATCTTCAGTGTAGGTTTAATAAAAAATAAAAAATAAAGTATAACATTGTTTGGAAGTCACAGGTATGTCACAATCTCCTTTAAAGTAACATAAAATAGAGCTATTAAAGTAACATAAAATAAAGCTATTTGTAGATTGGAATATTAGCTTTCAATACAAAGTTCCGTTGCCCTCTACGTCCTAGGTGATGGAGGCCAACCTGAATGGAGAGATGAACCTGAAGATTGAAACCGACTTGGTGTCTGTCACCACCCACTTCAAAGACCTGGGAAATCCTCCTTGGGGTAGGTGCATCCCCGTCATTTGGGTCGTTTGCATTAAGGCACACCGTAGCTAAATCATTTTGAAAAAGCTCATGTTAGCCATGGCATCAAACTGGAGCCTGTCTTAGGGCTTTTACTCATTTCAGTCTTGTCTCTCTTGGCCCCCTTCAGGTGACGATGGTTCCCAAGGGCGCAGTCAGAGCAGGGACCCTGAGGTCATGGCCCACACCCGCGTGGACATCCGCAAGCTGCAGCAGTTCCTCATGGGCCAGCAGGTCAACCCTAGCAAGGCCATGTGCAGTGAGTCAACTCTCATAGACTTTCTACTAATATTAACCATGTTGACCAATTAATCAGCACCTCTAATTTTCAATGTCACCAACCCTGGTCCCAGAGACCCACAAGGTGATGCAGGCTTTTGTTCCAACCCAGCCCTAAAGTAACTGATTTGCCGCACAAGGCCTGCACACCATGTATCTCTTTAGGACCAGGGTCAGTGGAGACTGGATTATACCATCTGATGACCGACAGAGAGCCTTGTCTGTACCAGTGAGTTACGGTTACATCATCTTCTGTGATGCTTAATCAGATGCATCACTATATTATGAGTTGTGATGTGGACATTCATTTAATTGTGTGAGAGAGAGAAACTAATTGTGAGACTTGTGTCATAAGAAAGATCCACTGTAAACTCCATGATTGCAGATCACTGATGAGCGTTCTATTATCCCCACCAGATATTGTCCACAAGAGGATCATTCATTTGATTCTGCTGCACGAAGACGTGTCTCTGCAGTACTTCATCCCAGCGGTGGCCTAACAAGACAAACGTTGTCTATCACAAAAGTCAGCTGAGAAGGTGGAGTTTGTTTTCTTTAGGATCAAAGGTTGACCATCCCTCCTACTGGAGAGCTACTGTGTAGGCATGCTTTTGCTCCAACCCCATCGTAACACACCTCATTCAGCTAATCAAGGTTCTAATGAGCAGTAGAATCAGGTGGTGTGCTAGTTAAGGGTTGGAGAGAAAGCTTGCAGGAGCGTAGCTGTCCAGGAGGAGGAATGGGCGATCCTAGACTACACATTCATTTGAGAAGTGCTGGTTGATTTTAAGATGACATGAAAAGGTGTGAAAAGCTTGTAAATCAACACTGCTGTCATGCACTTCCAAAATAATAACTTTGTGATTACATATTCTAAGTGGAAGCTCATGAATTTCATCTTTAAAATGTAAATGGTGTACTCTTAGACCTGGAACAAAGTTTGTATATTATAGTTTAGTATTTTATTTAATATGCTTACAAACCTCAAGGCCTTAAATGTATTGTCTATGTATGTTGCTACAGTATTGTTTTACTGTACATAGTTTAATAATTCCACTCAAGATGTGGCTGCCTTTATGGATTATATGTACTATATGTATTGTTGATAAAACATTTTTTTATTGTAGATCACTTGTTATTTGTAGTGAAGAAATGTGTTCAGGTCATTGTATATAGGAATATAGAGGCAGATTGAAGGATAAGGACACTTTGGAAATCTTAAATGACCCCTTGCAAAAGATACGCTACCAGTCTGTACAATGCATGTTATCTTGTAATAGTATAGGCATAGTTTGTCAGTTGATAGGTTGTGTTCGATAGTGCAACAAATTAAATCTCCACAGATATTATTATGCAAAGGAAATAATTTGTATAGCTTTTTTGGGGTCCCTAGATTAATTTGAATATAGTTGCGCACACAGTTGATGCTGGACACGCCAAAGGACCTTAGACATACACAAAGAGAGTACTGAAGTCAAAAGATTGGAAAATGCTTGTCTAATGCTATTTAATGTATCTGGATAGTGGTAACATAACAAAAATGTTTGCCAAGCAAAAGGCTAGTCAAAGTCCACAGTGGGAGGGGGCAGAGAAGAAACCAGGAGTTCCACAACTGACTAAACCAATCAAGTGTAATTCCCACTGCTTTCGGACCAACCCAGAGTAAAAGCTTTGTTGCACATTATTTATACGGTCGTACGGATTCGACACTTTGCGTTATGGTTTGTAATTGTACAGTTTTCACGTAGTGGGTAGAATGTCGTATATTAATGTCATATATCCACGCTTTGGCCGATTTACTGTTTACTGCACGTAAGTTAGAAGTTTGCAAGCACAACTGTAGAGCTGTGGTGCACGCTGGGAATGATCATGAATATTCATGAGCTCAAATAAAACAAGCGTTTTCATTGGACTGTAAAATGAATTAGTGAAATCCAAGTTTTGTTTCGTTGTTAGTGGGAATAGTTGACATATGGCTTTTGGTCTAGTTAGATTGAGTTAAGCCAAATATGTTTGTATATTCCTTTTCTGATTATGGTTATAACTAGCAAGTATTACAAGATGTATGATAACATAAATATCCGTCAATGCAAGTTACGAGAAACACGTTTCTTCTGTTTCTAAAAGACTAGTCAAATTGTGTAGTGAGCGGGTTGGGGTCACATGTGAGGACTCTACATAACTGACTGTAAGCAATATCAATCGTTTAAACCCACTACAATCGGACCAGTCAAATAAGGTTCGCATCACCATACTAATTTATATGGACATGAACAAATGTCGTTTTTAGTCATGGTTAGTGAAATTGTAGAAACGTATATATGAACTGTATATTTTTTCCACCATTACATTTAGTACAATGATTGCTCGCTAAAATAGATACAATATTTTTTAGAAATAATTTAGATTTTCTTTGGAGAAAATGGTAGTGCATTATGGGATACCACAAAAAGCCGAAACATCATTATCGTGTTGAATCTAATAGCAGGACAGACTTAAACCCTAAAATTAATTCCCTGATTTTTATGACACTATTTCCGAGACACATAAATAAGAATATGCTTTAATTTGAACAGTTGAACGACCCAGGTGATGTAGCTACCAGACTGACGTATACAATATATTAGTCGCAATGATTTTACCATTATTAGCCGCTCGGCGGCGCACCACACCCGTTTTATTTCTGGAGAACATCGGTTTCTGTCGTCTCTGACAATGGCATTGCTGTCATGCTCTACAGTGCTGTGTCATGAGTGATGAGTCAAATTACAAATGAAAATCTTAGGAATAGACGGCTTAAAATAATATAGGGATAGACTTTTGCTTTGTCTTGATTTTAAATCTGCTATAAAAAATCTAAATAGACCATGCTGCTTCTGATCTCTTGCATGCCTTGGGGGGGGGGGGGGGTCTCTTAATATTTATAATTTGAAAAAGACCCGCGCAGACAGCAAGACACATTAATCTCACTGGAGAAAGCATTCGAGCGAGCAAAACAGCTCCCCTCTGTCTCAGTATGTGTAGATGGATGGATGAGTTTATCTGTCACATGCACAGGGTCGCAGATGTATTTACAGGGTACAGTGACATTTTTAAGCTCCGAGCTCCAACAGTGCAGATCAAAGAGAAGTGAATGAAACAATGGCTATTCAGCAGCCTGATGGTCTGGGGGTAGAAGATATTGGCCAGTCTGTCAGTTTTTTCCGTGATGCTCCTATACTGCCCGTGTCTGAGTGATGGAAGCGGAGAGAACAGGTCGTGGTTCGGTTGGATGAGGTCCTTGATGATCTTCTTGGCCTTCCTGAGGCACCTGGTGTTGTAGGTGTCCCGGAGAGCAGGCAGTGTTCACCCGATGGTGCGTTCGGCTGAGCGTACCACCCTCTGTAGAGCCTTACGGTCAGCAGCAGTGGAGTTGCCATCCCTGTGCTCTCGATGGTGCTCCTGTAGAACACTGAGAGGCCCCCTCGGGGACAGGCCACATTTCTTGAGCCTCCTGAGGTTGTAGAGTCGCTGTCGTGCCTTCTTCACCATGGTGTCGGTGTGGTTTGACCATTTCAGCTCCTTGGAGATGTGTACGCCGAGGAATTATACGTTTTTTACTGTCTCCACGGCGGCCCCATTGATGAGGATGGGGGTGTGCCCAGCCTGGTTCCTCCTGAAGTCCACAATCAGCTTCTTATTTTGCTGACGTTGAGGGAGAGGTTGTTTACCTGGCACCACGCCGTCAGAGTGCCTACCTGCTCTCTGTAGGCTGTCTCGCTGTTGTTGGTAATCAGGCCAACTACTGTCATGTAGTCAGCGAACTTGATGATTTAGTTGGAACTGTGTGAGGCCACACAGTCGTGGTTATACAGGGAGTACAGGAGGGGACTGAGGACGCACCCTTGTGAGGCTCCCGTGTTGAGGATCAGTGTGAAGGAGGTAATGTTGCCTACGTCAGGAAGTCCAGGACCCAGTTGCATAGGCAGGAGTATATTGCCTACCTTCACCACCTGGGGGGCTGCCCGTCAAGAAGTCCAGGACCCAGTTGCATAGGGAGGAGTTCAGTCCCAGGGCTGTGAGCTTTGTGGTGAGCTTAGAGGAGGGCACCATGGTATTAAAGGCAAAGCTGTAGTCGACGATCAGCATCCTCACATATTAATTCCTTTTGTCCAGGTGGGTGAGGGCAGTGTGCAGTGTGATGGCGATTGCGTCGTCCATGGATCTGTCAGGGCGGAAGGCGAATTGGAGAGGGTCAAGTGTGTCGTGGGAGGGAAGAGGTGATATGATCTTTGACTAGCCTCTCGAACCACATCATGATGACGGAAGTGAGTGCTACGGGTTGGTAATCATTCAGTTCAGTTACTTTCCCTTTATTGGGCACGAGGATGATAGTGGACATCTTGAAGCAGGTGGGGATAACGACCTGAGCTAACGAGAGATTGAAAATGTCAGAAAACACAACAACTTGCTGGTCTGCACATGCTCTGAGGGCGCGGCTAGGGACGCCGTCTGGTCCGTCTGCCTTGCGAGGGTTAACACATTTGAATGACTTACATACGTCTTCCGTGGAGACATAAGCACATAGCCCTCGTTGTCCTCAGCCCATGTGTAGCCCATGTATCTGATTCTGTATGGCCAAAAATAGTATGACATGGGATTTCTAGAGCTGTTGTTGTGTAGGCTATGTGGTCGGCATTATATTTCATGACTAACTTGCAATCATATGAACAAAAACTCCAGGATGGGACCCTTTGATCTTCTTCTTCCCACTGAATTTGTCATGTAAGGCTGCTAGTCTCTTTCTTTTTACACAAATTAACATGGGAAATGTTATGCCTGTGCTGTTACAGTTGTGATGCTGGTCCACAGATGAAGGATTGCCACTCAGGTGGAAACACAGTTATTATGATTGTGAATTATGAGCCTTCTTAAATGAAAAGATTGCAAAGAGAAAGTTTGTGAAATTAAATAAAAGATTGTGAAGATAATTGATGCAAAGATAACCGTTCGTATGATGCTTGGTCTTTGACACAACATTAACAAGTCACAACGTGCTTCTTTTTAGTGGCCTTTGACAACAATTAATCGGCTTTCAACAGTGCTTTAATTAAATGAATAAGCTTGTGTTGCATTTAATTTGCTTAGTCTGGTCTTGCACTCTATATATCAATTTCAGACAGAAGATGTGGTATATTAACTGTAAAAAATATAAGTTTATTTTCTAATTGACGAAAATTGAAGGAGAGGCTGTGACTGACAAAATAAGAGAAAAACTGCTGATGCACAACCAAATTTCGAACGTGCACATTGTGTATTCAACTATTCTAATGCTCAACAGTAAATTGAGACCCTGTACGTGTCCAAATACCCATACTTGCGTCTTAAATAGTAGGCCATTTGAGTATGCGAAAAAATAACTTTTTATAGTATGTGACATTTTAGAAAATGTAGTACACTTTAAATGCCTGGATGTTACACTCATTTCAGCTTTGACAACAGCTGATCAATTAGATATATAAAATATAGAATTTGGCCTTTACTACTATAGCTCATAGAAACGCATTGAATAACACATTCATAAATGGCAGAAACTGCATAAAGCAAGATCAGCCCTGTTATTAGCTCTATTGTCCGATTGCAGTTGTCTTTTTGTCTGTGTAAAGGACCCCCGTTAGTTTTTTAATATAATTCATACACTATATATACAAAAGTATGTGGACCCCTTCAAATTTGTGGATTCAGCTATTTCAGCCACACCCGTTGCTGACAGGTGTATAAAATTGAGCACACAGCCATGCAATCTCCATAGACAAACATTGGCAGTAGAATGGCCTTACTGAAGAGCTTAGTGACTTTCATTGTGACACCGTCGTAGGATGCCACCTTTCCAGTCAGTTCATAAAATTTCTGCCGTGCTAGAGCTGCCCCGGTCAAATGTAAGTGCTGTTATTGTGAAGTGGAAACGTCTACCGCAGAGTGCTGAAGTGTATAGCGCGTAAAAATCATCTGTCCTCGGTTGCAACACTCACTACCGAGTTCAAAACTGCCTCTGAAAACAACATCTGCACAATAACTGTTAGTCGGGAGCTTCATTAAATGGGTTTTCATGGCCGAGCAGCCGCGCACAAGCCTAAGATCACCATGCGCAATGCCAAGCGTCGGCCGGAGTGCGGTAAAGCTCATCGCCATTGGAGTCTGGAGCAGTGGAAACGTGTTCTCTGGAGTGATGAATCACGCTTCACCATCTCGCAGTCCGACGGACGAATCTGGGTTTGGCGGATGCCTGGAAAACGCTACCTGCCCCAATGCATAATGCCAACTGTAAAGTTTGGTGGAGGAGGAATAATGTTCTGGTGCTGTTTTTCATGGTTCGGGCTAGGCCCCTTAGTTCCAGTGAAGGGAGATCTTAACGCTACAGCATACAATGACATTGTACATGATTCTGTGCTTCCAACTTTGTTACAACAGTTTGGGGAAGGCCCTTTCCTGTTTCAGCTTGACAATGTCCCCGTGCACAAAGCGAGGTCCATACAGAAGTGGTTTGTCGAGATCGGTGTGGAAGAACTTGACTGGCCTGCACAGAGCCAGAACAGGTACAAGGTTGCTGCAGTTTGACAGGGTTTTAATGTTTTCATCCTCCGTAGGGCCAGGAGTAAAAAACAACAACAACAACATATGACCTGATTAGAAAAATAATCTGGTCCCATCATAGCTCATATAAAACGGACTTTTACAGCTGATTAATTACTATGTCATACCGTATAACTAGGGTCCGGAGTTGGTTAAGTTAGCTACCAGATCAGGAAAAACTCTGGCCCCCCACCCCAACCCCACTCTGGTTGTTAAACCATGGGGTCTGTTTGCCTTTCAAATTAGAGAGGTGTTAAACAATGGAAGTCTTCATGAATTTACCTGTAAAAAAGCAGACAACCATTTACACAGACCTGATAACTGTATGTTGGTTACAGGGTCTGTGAAAATGCAGGAATCATGACTAGGTCTTTAGGTGGTTTTTAATTTGCAATGTTTTTTAAAATCCCCTACCCTTTTCAGATGTACGAAAAAGCAGGCAAAAAGAAGCAGGCATGGTAAATTAGTGGGATTTTGGTCTAAGGGATATCTCTCTCTCTCCGTCTCTCTCTCTCTCTCTCTCTCTCCATCCATCTCTCTCTCTCTCTCTCTCTCTCTCTCTCTCTCTCTCTCTCTCTCTCTCTCTTTACGAATGCACGAACATCATGTGGTCCTGGCTTGGCGCTGTCGTCTCGTTGCTGAATCAAACAGCTTGGATCGTGGTAGGTGCTGTGTCACACAAGCAGCCACAGTTTACGTCTGTGCAATTTTAATGCGGCATCCACTCAGGACAGGATAGTGACTGTGCGAACGCACTTGCGAGACGCACAACTCAGAGAGAGACGCGCTACTTTATTTATTTTTACCGACTTGACCTCGGGATATGATACAGAGCTGTTACCAGGTTTTGAACAACTATTGCGCACGAATATATTGGATTTATTGTCGTGTGGAATAAAGACGCATATTTGAAAATGAACCCACCGTGCGCACGCTGTGGGAAAATTGTCTATCCGACGGAGAAAGTCAACTGCCTTGATAAGGTCAGATCACAATTTCAATGCACTGTTAGGCTGTTCTCTATATCAGAATTGACTGCGCTGTATTTCAGGAGTCTGTTTGTGGATTTTTAAACTTCGATTCAAACGTATCTTTGGCCACATAACCTAATGTCACAAAACAGTGAGTGCACTGATACACACAAAACCAGATTATGCCAAAAGTTAGTTTTTTGTTGTTGTGGTTTTGGATAGCTTGTGTTATTCTGATGATAGGTGTATTATAATAGCGTATCTATTGTAGCATAACGTTACACTCTTAAGAAAAAAGCGTTCCAAAACGGTTATTCGGCTTTCCCCATAGAATAACAATTTTTGGTTCCTGGTAGAACCGTGGGTTCTACATGGAACCCAAAAGGGTTCTACCTACAACAAAAAGGGTTCTACATGGCACCATAAAGGGTTATTCAAGGGGTTCTCCTATGGGGACAACCCTTAGTTAGTTATCGTTTAATAGCCCTTTGTATTATTGATGTCTAAATCAGGCCTAGGTCTATACTAGCCTACAATTACTACTACTACAGGTTAATAAAAGTGAGCATCATATGTCTGCTAAACCAACCCTATATAACCTTTATTTTGACCCCTTTTGTAAACCTTCAACCCTTGGCACTGCTTTTCCTGCAGGCCTACCCATTATCTAAACCCCTAACCCTGGTCCTGGCTTAATGGCCTTATGGTACCAATGTGGCCCACCTTCTAAGGACATCACACACATTACACCACACTTACATTACATCACACACAAGCAATGAAATTGAACACATCATGGGCATTGACTACTGTCTGTCACCCATCCAAACAAATCTATGGCCGATACGCCAGTGGACAGTCGTAGCACAGGTATATCTGCAACCAAATGTATGGCCTATTGTACAGCTCTGAAACCTACCACATACACCAAAGACATATTCTTAGTTCAATCATTTGCTCAATTTAGAATCAGCAATTACCTAAGGATGGGTTGAAATAGATACTGTAACCTTTGTTTAATTAAGAGAGCTTTTTTATTTTCTTCTTTTGGGACCTTTATTCACTTAATTGTTTAGAACCACTTCTCTTGGTTGTGATAATAGAAATCTGGAATATCAGTCATGTCTCTGCGCCTTTCAACTAATAAAGGCAGTTATTCATTCACGATGATCAAATTTGAGCACCAGCACAAGGCCAAACTGAATTGAAATATCATTTCTGTTTTCCTTTCCAGAATTGGCATAAAGGATGCTTCCACTGCGAGGTGTGCAAAATGACCCTGAACATGAAGAACTACAAAGGCTATGATAAGAAACCCTACTGCAATGCGTGAGTACAGTTGTTGCTTTAGCTATTTATATGCTTTGGTTTTAGGGCTTAAGTCAGTGGTCTCAAACAGTTTTGTTGATTAAGTGGCAGAAGTAGGGTATGGGCAATGGGCGTTAATGGGCAATGCGTTAATAGTGGAGGTGATTTGGAATCACGCTCTCGTGATTAGGTGGACCTGCCTGACACTGTTTCACCCTTGCCCATGAGGATATCTTCTTGGTCTAATGGTTAAGGTGTTGGGCTGGTGAGAGCGAGACCAGGTTCGATTCCCATGAACATAGAAAAATGGAGTTGAGTCCAGATGAGAATTTCCTAACAAGTCAGTGTTACAGTACAGGGGAGATACTGCATACATGTGAGAGAGGAGGCCCATGTCTGTCCTTGTCTCCAAAGCCTGATTAATCTACTAGTAATCTCAGGCTTGTTACATCTGAAACACACTCATGACATCCAGATGTGTCTGGTTTTCCCTGGCTCTTAGGGCAAAGCTCTCAGATGAGAAATCAAAAGCGTAGGCTGGAGACTGGCCTGTTGCATAGAACAACATGGCAAGTTGGGCCTTCTATCAGAGAGCACAACAAGTCTATTTCAGTCCCCCAGCATGAAAGCAGATGGAGGGCCAACGCTTTTGACTGGTTTTCTGCTTTGCTTTTCTCTTTACTTCTCAGATAAACAGCCCTTGGCTTATTAGAGGCTCTTGCAGTAGCGTACGGAAGATTAATACACTGTAGCTCAGCTGGTAGAGCACGGCGCTTGTAATGCCAAGGTAGTGGGTTCGATCCCCGGGACCACCCATACACAAAAAATATATGCACGCATGACTGTAAGTCGCTTTGGATAAAAGCGTCTGCTAAATGGCATATTATTATTATTATTATATTATAAACACAATTACAGGAGTGCAATTACTGTCATTTACATTTAAGAGCACATGACATAATACATTCTTTGTTCTATTTATACCATGGCATTGTTGAATACTCTTTTCTGATTGGCTTGAAAGGCATTCTAGAGCATGCATTATTTCTCTATAACGGACAGCATATTTGCATGGTAGAATTTAATGTCTATAGTTCATTTTTACAAGTTTTATTTGAGCTGCTTTTGAAAGCAAAAGTCGAATTGAAAACAGTATTGATATTGTTGAATTTGATTTTTATAATAGCAACCTAGGACTGTTTGTGTGGTTACCATGGCAACTACTGTAGCTATCTATTAAACTTGCTAGCTACTTCAGTGGATGTTGAACACATTTCTACCAGCAAATGAACACATTTCTAGCTGCAAATGTATTAAATTATAGCAATGGTGTAAAAGGGATAATCAACTTGGGGCTCTATGCGTTCTCTTGAAAATAATGCAACTCCGTGGAAGGTCAGTTCCACTCCGCTAGCGCGTTGTGGAACACACCTTCCACGTCATTCATTATTTTCCATAGAACACATAGCCCCTCGTTGATTATCCCTTACATAAACCACAGCTCATGTGCTTGGTTACCTCTACCGAGCTCTTGTTCAGATCTGCAGGGAAGGGGTGTATGGACACCCACTTACCTGAACGAGTGTGGGTGAGATCAAGGGTCTGATGCTAGTGTGGAACTATAGTGCAGTTTGTTGAAGAGGAAAACACCTCCAGCATTTCAATAACAGCATTTTAAAGTACATTGAATGTGCTGTCCTTGTGTTGTTATTGATAGGGTTGTGTGTAAAGGTAGGCCACCACTCTTGCCAATGAGCAGTTTCAATGTAGCTTTCATTTGAACAATATATCAACCATACACAATATTTATTTTCTGTATTATCAGCACGCACACACACAGTAGAAATGCCCCAAAAATGTTTTCATCAAATATCTTGTTTGTTGCATGCCGCTTCAACACATTTGTTTAGAGAAATCCCCAAGAAAGGACTGCATTATAAATTCATACAGGAAAGTCTACCGAAACACAGCCTCTAAGTCTACAAACAGAACACACTTTGTCCTACCTTTCTCACACACCCAATAGCATTGCAAATTCATTATTTCAATTGATGGGGCCAATACAAAGATAATTTAAACGGATGTTAAACTGTGCCTGAAATCAAATTAACCGAAATTAACACAAGTTTGTGTCTGGATGCACATGGTTGAAAACTCGCACACACTTTGTCCTGGTGATATTCAGCATCACTGAAATTAAGGTGTTCCTCAATGTATTGGGGTGGTGAACTCTTTTAATTAAGCCCCACCCCCACAGGTTCCAAACCTTGGATCAATTCCTCAAAGGTTCTTATAATAACCGAGGTTCTTGGGACTCTCTCTCTCTCCTCTCTCTCTCTCTCTCTCTCTCTCTCTCTCTCTCTCTCTCTCTCTCTCTCTCTCTCTCTCTCTCTCTCTCTCTCTGTATCCCAAGCTCCTCACTGCCCCGTCTTTTAACAGGGGGAAGATGAAAGAGAAAATTGCGGAAGGATTAGAAAAGCACATTATCAGCACTGTGCCGGGATTCAGGCCCCCCCCCCCCCCAACATCAACAATCAACATGCTCAACTCTCTTAGGATTCTGTGTGTTATTTAGTGCAATACATGTTCAGCCCTCTGCTACCTTCATTTACACATTGGTGCAGTATACATCTCTTTCTCTCTTTCTCTTTCTTTCTTTCTTTCTTTCTCTCTCTCTCTCTCTCTCTCTCTCTCTCTCACTCTCCTGCTCGCTCTCACTCTCTTTCTTGCTTTCTCTCACCCTCTCTATTTTGCTCTCTCTCTCTCTCTCTCTCTCTCTCTCTCTCTCTCTCTCTCTCTCTCTCTCTCTCTCTCTCTCTCTCTCTCTCTCCCTCTCTCTCTCTCTCTTTGTTCTATCTCTCTCTCTCTCTCTTTCAACATTTTGGGGAAAAGGAATTCTACTTAGCCTTTGACCTCCATGGTAAAGCTTCTCTTTCAGAGTCTCAGGACAGAATCTACCAAGTTGCATTAATGGATACTTATCCCACTGGCTTCCTCTGTGTCTATGTACTGTATCAAGTGAAAGCAAGAATACTTTTGCTCTTGGATTCTCCAGTATCTCCCTGTATGCACACATATGTTGTGTCAGATTTTGGGTCATGATACAGTAATACAGTTGTAATAAACTCTAAAATCTTACAGATTGTGCCTTACATTTACATTTTAGTCTTATACTGAGCGACTTACAGTCTGTCCTGGGGTAGTATGAACCAAGTGAGACCCTGGAGTCACTCGGTCCAGCGTTCACCTCCACTTAAAGTGGCAATCAGCAGTAGGAACAATAACAAAGCGTTCTCCCCTCCCCTGTTTCAGTAAAAAGCTGAGGGATGGGGCTGGAGAAGTGTAACCACTCTCAAATTCATAGACAGAGCTATGGATGCAAGGACTGACCATCCATGATATAAAAATTATAGTTTTAACTAAAATGTTTTTAGGCTATATAGTATGACAGTTAAACTAAGCTTATGAGGTATTTATAAGTTATATTCTTCAAGAATCAATGTGTACATATCATTAATTTATAAGTGATGTAGCAACTGCATATTGCCCCTTTAATAGACAATGCTTTGAGCTCACTGCAGGTCAAGGAAAAAGTCAATTATATGTCAGGGGAAGAGGAAATATTTAATCTGCCATTCCTGGCTCTTTTTAAATAAACCTGTGTAACACTGTGTGCCCAGTTCATCACTAATATTTAAGCATCCACTCTTGCAGTGCAGTATTGCAGTGTAGAGGATGGATTATGTTCAGTCATGCCATTTCCATCTTTTAAATGCAAATTTCTCTGTAAAATATTTATATTCATATTTATTTTTAAGTTAGAATAATTACAGTATGTTATCTAATGTCTGACTGCTCATTAGAAAGTGATGATGCAAAGATGTATGCCATTTCTGAGCCTTTCGTGTAGTGCAATTTTGTAACTACTGCCATTGAGGGACATGACAAATGCCCCAAAAGCTAAGTAGCATTTCAAACACACAAGATAAGAGGACGTTTCATTGTACGCAACACATACATACATATGAGGGAAACTTATGTAACTCTCTGACTAATCTTTTATGAGATGACCCAGAACTGAAAAGCTGTGAAAAGGCATAGATCTGAGGCATAGGATATTTTATAGAAGAAGAATATTATGCATGAATAGTTGAACAAACAAAAGCAAAACCATTAGTTACAGTTGAAGTCGGAAGTTTACATAGACCTTAGCCACATACATTTAAACTCAGTTTTTCACAATTCCTGACATTTAATCCTAGTAAAAAGTCCCTGTCTTATGTCAGTTAGGATCACCACTTTATTTTAAGAATGTGAAATGTCAGAATAATAGTAGAGAGAATGATTTATTTCAGCTTTTATTTCTTTCATCACATTCCCAGTGGGTCAGAAGTTTACATACACTCAATTAGTATTTGGTAGCATTGCCTTTAAATTGTTTAACTTGGGTCAAACGTTTCGGGTAGCCTTCCACAAGCTTCCCACAATAAGTTGGGTGAATTTTGGCCCATTCCTCCTGACAGAGCTGGTGTAACTGAGTCAGGTTTGTAGACCTCCTTGCTCACACACGCTTTTTCAGTTCTGCCCACAAATGTTCTATTGGATTGAGGTCAGGGCTTTGTGATTGCCACTCCAATACCTTGCCTTTTTGTCCTTAAGCCAATTTGCCACAACTTTGGAAGTATGCTTGGGGTCATTGTCCATTTGGAAGACACATTTGCGACCAAGCTTTAACTTCCTGACTGATGTCTTGAGATGTTGCTTCAATATATCCACATAATTTTCCTTCCTCATGATGCCATCTATTTTGTGAAGTGCACCAGTCCCTCATGCAGCAAAGCACCCCCACAGCATGATGCTGCCACCCCCGGGCTTCACGGTTGGGATGGTGTTCTTCGGTTTGCAAGCATCCACCTTTTTCCTCCAAACATAACGATGGTCATTATGGCCAAACAGTTCTATTTTTGTTTCATCAGACCAGAGGACATTTCTCCAAAAAGTACGATCTTTGTCCCCATGTGCAGTTGCAAACTGTAGTCTGGCTTTTTGATGGCGGTTTTGGAGCACTTGCTTCTTCCTTGCTGAGCGGCCTTTCAGGTTATGTCGATATAGGACTAATTTTACTGTGGATATAGATACAGTGCCTTGCAAAAGTATTCATACCCCTTGGTGTTTTTCCTATTGTGTTGCATTACAACCTGCAATTTAAATTGATTTTTATTTGGATTTCATGTAATGGACATACACAAAATAGTCCAAATTGGTGAAGTGAAATGAAAAAAATAACTTGTTTCAAGAAATTCGAACAAATAAATTACGGAAAAGTCACATAATTAGTTAAATAAAGTCCACCTGTGTGCAATCTAAGTGATACATGATCTGTCACATGATCTCAGTATATATACACCTGTTCTGAAAAGCCCCAGAGTCTGCAACACCACTAAGCAAGGGGCACCACCAAGCAAGCGACACCATGAAGACCAAGGAGCTCGCCAAACAGGTCAGGGACAAAGTTGTGGAGAAGTACAGATCAGGGTTGGGTTATAAAAAAATATCAGAAACTTTGAACATCCCACGGAGTACCATTAAATTACTAAAAAATTGAAAGAATATGGCACCACAACAAACCTGTCAAGAGAGGGCCGCCCACCAAAACTCACGGACCAGGCAAGGAGGGCATTAATCAGACAGGCAACAAAGAGACCAAAGATAACCCTGATGGAGCTGCAAAGCTCCACAGCGGAGATTGGAGTATCTGTCCATAGGACCACTTTAAGCCGTACACTCCACAGATCTGGGCTTTACGGAAGAGTGGCCAGAAAAAAGCCATTGCTTGAGGAAAAAAGTAAGCAAACACATTTGGTGTTCGCCAAAAGCCATGTGGGAGACTCCGCAAACATATGGAAGAAGGTACTCTGGTCAGATGAGACAAAAATTTAGCTGTTTGGCCATCAAGGAAAACGCTATGTCTGGCACAAACCCAACACCTCTCATCACCCCGAGAACACCATCCCCACAGTGAAGCATGGTGGTGGCAGCATCATGCTGTGGGGATGTTTTTCATCGGCAGGGACTGGGAAACTGGTCAGAATTGAAGGAATGATGGATGGCACTAAATACAGGGATATTCTTGAGGGAAACCTGTTTCAGTATTCCAGACATTTGAGACTGGGATGGAGGTTCACCTTCCAGCAGGACAATGACCCTAAGCATACTGCTAAAGCAACACTTGAGTGGTTTAAGGGGAAACATTTAAATGTCTTGGAATGGCCTAGTCAAAGCCCAGACCTCAATCCAATTGAGAATCTGTGGTATGACTTAAAGATTGCTGTACGCCAGCAGAACCCATCCAACTTGAAGGAGCTGGAGCAGTTTTGCCTTGAAGAATGGGCAAAAATCCCAGTGGCTAGATGTGCCAAACTTTTAGAGACATACCCCAAGAGACTTGCAGCTGTAATTGCTGCAAAAGGTGGATCTACAAAGTATTGACTTTGGGGGGGTGAATAGTTATGCACGCTCAAGTTTTCTGTTTTTTTTGTCTTATTTCTTGTTTGTTTCACAATTTTTTTTATTTTGCATCTTCAAAGTGGTAGGCATGTTGTGTAAATCAAATGATACAAACCCCCCAAAAATCCATTTTAATTCCAGGTTGTAAGGCAACAAAATAGGAAAAATGCCAAGGGGGGTGAATACTTTCGCAAGCCACTGTACTTTTGTACCTGTTTCCTCCAGCATCTTGACAAGGTCCTTTGCTGTTGTTCTGGGATTGATTTGCACTTTTCGCACCAAAGTACGTTCATCTCTAGGAGACAGAACATGTCTCCTTCCTGAGCGGTATGACGGCTGCGTGGTCTCATGTTGTTTATACTTGCGTATTATTGTTTGTACAGATGAAGTGGTACCTTCAGGCGTTTGGAAATTGCTCCCAAGAATGAACCAGACTTGTGGAGGTCTTCAAAAAAAATTCTGAGGCCTTGGCTGATTTCTTTTGATTTTCCCATGATGTCAAGCAAAGAGGCACTGAGTTTGAAGGTAGGCCTTGAAATACATCCACAGGTACACCTCCAATTGACTCAAATGATGTCAATTAGCCTATCAGAAGCTTCTAAAGCCATTGACATCATTTTCTGGAATTTTCCATGCTGTTTAAAGGCACAGTCAACTTAGTGTATGTAAACTTCTGACCCACTGGAATTATGATACAGTGAATTATAAGTGAAATAATCTGTCTGTAAACAATTGTTGGAAAAATTACTTGTGTCATACACAAAGTAGATGTCCTAACCGACTTGCCAAAAATGTAATTTGTTAACAAGAAATGTGTGGAGTGGTTGAAAAACTAGTTTTAATAACTCCAACCTAAATGTATGTAAACACCCGACTTCAACTGTATGTGTTGCATCAAAGCATGTCATTTGATAATCCTCTCTGTCACAAAGGTTTACCTGCTGTCTTAACACGAGGAGTGCATCTTAAAATCAAAAAGACTGCATCTTCACCTCATCTCCTTGCCTCTTCTACAGTAACATCAACAAACGGGACAGGTGAAAGTGATTTCCAGGTCGTTCAGGCCCAACGTCCTCCATATTGCTATCACCTAAATTGTCTTTTCAGATCAGTAAAGGTTTCACGTTTTTATTGTCACATGCACAAGTACAGTGAAATGCCTTTCTTGCAAGTTCTTTTCCCAACAATGCAGTAATCAATATCAATATACTGTATAGTACTATAAAATAAAGTAAAGTAGAACAAAAAACACATGAGAAATAGAAATAAGAAGAACACTAGAAAGTAAGTAAGCTATATATGGGGACAGTTCCAGGGTCAGTAGCTATATACAGGGACAGTTCCAGGGTCAGTAGCTATATATAGGGACAGTTCCAGGGTCAGTAGCTATATACAGGGACAATTCCAGGGTCAGTGTCAGGGTGTCAGTGTGATGTGGTAGGACGAAGTCAGGCGCAGGACACAGAGCTAATCGAAAACGTACTTTACTCATACGTAACGTAAATAACATAACCTCCACGCAGGGAGGAAACAAATCCGCTCACCAGATGACAACCAAACATGAACAAACTCTCAAAACATACAGTGGGAGCCAGAGGGTTAAGTAGGGAAGTAATCAATACCTAATGGGAACCAGGTGTGAACAATAAAGACAAGACAAGTAGAACACAGAAACATAGATCGGTAGAAGCTAGTACTCCGGTGACGACGAACGCCGAAGCCTGCCCGAGCAAGGAGGAGGAGCAGCCTCGGCTGAATCCGTGACAGTCAGTAGCTACAATGATGGTAGGTTTATTTGAACAGTGAGAGACAGAATAACAACAAAGAAAATCGAGAAAAACGTATGTCAAAAATGTTATAAATTGATTTGCATTTTAATGAGGGAAATAAGTATTTGACCCCCTCTCAATCAGAAAGATTTCTGGCTCCCAGGTGTCTTTTTTTCACAGGTAATGAGCTGAGATTAGGAGCACACTTTTAAAGGGAGTGCTCTTAATCTCAGCTTGTTACCTGTATAAAAGACACCTGTCCACAGAAGCAATCAATCAGATTCCAAACTCTCCACCATGGCCAAGACCAAAGAGCTCTCCAAGGATGTCAGGGACAAGATTGTAGACCTACACAAGGCTGGAATGGGCTACAAGACCATCGCCAAGCAGCTTGGTGAGAAGGTGGCAACATTTTACATTTTAGTCATTTAGCAGACGCTCTTATCCAGAGCTACTTACAGTTAGTGAATGCATACGTTTTTTTCATACTGGCCCCCCGTGGGAAACAAACCCACATCCCTGCTGGCCAAACCCTCCCCTACCTTGGACAACACTGGACCAATTGTGCGCCACCCATGGGTCTCCCGGTTGCGGCCGGCTGCGACAGAGCCTGGACTCGAACCAGGATCTCTAGTGGCACAGCTAACACTGCGATGCAGTGCCTTAGACCACTGCGCCACTCGGGAGTCAACAGTTGGTGCGATTATTTGCAAATGGAAGAAACACAAAAGAACTGTCAATCTCCCTCGGCCTGGGGATCCATGCAAGATGTCACCTCGTGTAGTTGCAATAATCATGAGAGCGGTGAGGAATCAGCCCAGAACTACACGGGAGGATCTTGTCAATGATCTCAAGGCAGCTGGGACCATAGTCACCAAGAAAACAATTGGTAACACACTACGCCGTGAAGGACTGAAATCCTGCAGCGCCCGCAATGTCCCCCTGCTCAAGAAAGCACATATACATGCCCGTCTGAAGTTTGCCAATGAACATCTGAATGATTCAGAGGAGAACTGGGTGAAAGTGTTGTGGTCAGATGAGACCAAAATGGAGCTCTTTGGCATCAACTCAACTCGCCGTGTTTGGAGGAGGAGGAATGCTGCCTATGACCCCAAGAACACCATCCCCACCGTCAAACATGGAGGTGGGAACATTATGCTTTGGGGGTGTTTTTCTGCTAAGGGGACATGACAACTTCACCGCTTCACAGGGACGATGGATGGGGCCATGTACCGTCAGATCTTGGGTGAGAACCTCCTTCCCTCAGCCAGGGCGTTGAAAATGGGTCGTGGATGGGTATTCCAGCATGACAATGACCCAAAACACACGGCCAAGGCAACAAAGGAGTGGCTCAAGAAGAAGCACATTAAGGTCCTGGAGTGGCCTAGCCAGTCTCCAGACCTTAATCCCATAGAAAATCTGTGGAGGGAGCTGAAGGTTCGAGTTGCAAAACATCAGCCTCGAAACCTTAATGACTTGGTGAAGATCTGCAAAGAGGAGTGGGACAAAATCCCTCCTGAGGTGTGTGCAAACCTGGTGGCCAACTACAAGAAACGTCTGACCTCTGTGATTGCCAACAAGGGTTTTGCCACCAAGTGCTAAGTCATGTTTTGCAGAGAGGTCAAATACTTATAATTATAATAATAATAATATAATATAAAAATACTTATTTCCCTCATTAAAATGCAAATCAATTTATAACATTTTTGACATGTGTTTTTCTGGATTTTTTTGTTGTTATTCTGTCTCTCACTGTTCAAATAAACCTACCATTAAAATTATAGACTGATCATTTCTTTGTCAGTGGGCAAACGTACAAAATCAGCAGGGGATCAAATACTTTTTTCCCTCACTGTATACAGCTGCACCATCGAGAGCATCCTGACTGGTTGCATCACCGCCTGGTATGGCAACTGCTCGGCCTCCGACCGCAAGGCACTACAGAGGGTAGTGCGTATGGCCCAGTACATCACTGGGGCCAAGCTTCCTACCATCCAGGACCTCTATACCAGGCAGTGTCAGAGGAAGGCCCTAAAAACTGTCAAAGACTCCAGCCACCCTAGTCATAGACTGTTCTCTCTGCTACTGCACGGCAAGCAGTACCGGAGCGCCAAGTCTAGGTCCAAAAGGCTTCTTAACAGCTTCTACCCCCAAGCCATAAGACTCCTGAACAGCTAATCATGGCTACCCGGACTATTTGCATTTATTTTACTGCTGCTCTTTAATTATTTGTAATTTTTATTCTTTACTTATCTATTTTTTACTTCTTCTTAAAACTGCATTGTTGGTTAAGGACTTGTAAGTAAATATTTCACTGTAAGGTCTACACCTGTTGTATTCGGCGGATGTGACAAATAACCTTTTATTTGATTTTATTTGACTTAAGACAATTGAGAAACACCTGGGGACTAACGGAAGGACCAGTGAAGTGGCTCACTTGATGGCTGAGCCTGGGATCAATGATCAGAGCTTCGCTATAGACTGCTTTATCTGCTCATTTTGATTATTGAGGCCTTAGCTCCTCTGTGAGACCCCCAGTTCCAAAAATGCAACAGGTCCTAAATTAATGCCAAACACTACAACTTTTACTTTTACTTAACTACATTCGTAAAGACAATAATGTACTTTTTACTCCATACATTTTCCCTGACACCCAAAAGTACTCGTTACATTTTCAATGCTTAGCAGGATAGGAAAATGGTCCAATTCCCGCGCTTATCAAGATAACATCCCTGGTCATCCCTACTGCCTCTGATCTGTCAGGCTCACTAAACACATATGCTTCATTTGTAAATGATGTCTGAGTGTTGGAGTGTGCCCCTGGCTTTCCGTAAATAAATAAACAACAAGAAAATGATGCCGTCTCGTTTGCTTAATATAAGGAATTTGAAATGAATTATACTTTTACTTTTACTTTTCATACTTAAGTATATTTTAGCAATTACATTTACTTTTGATACTTAAGTATTTTTAAAAACAAATACTTTTAGACTTTTACTCAAGTAGTATTTTACTGGATGACTTTCACTTTTACTTGAGTCATTTTCTATTAAGGTATCTTTACTTTTACTCAAGTATGACAATTGGGTACTTTTTCCACCTCTGGCTTTAACATTGCAGCTTGTTTCTGATGGGAAAGGTTGGCTAATTTAATGTTGTGATCTTCTAACTACATGTCTGAATATCTAAGCTTAGAGAGGGAGAAGGAACCAAACTTGCAGGTAAATCTTGCATTAATGCTTGTGAGAGTTGTGTGCGATGAATTGAGTTATAGATGTAGGATGTTAATTTGAGCCAGGTTGCTACAGCAGGAAAATAATCCTGCAGTAACAGGAAATGTGAATTATTATGTGGATTATAATTTATGGACATTTTTGTAGGGGTTGATACATTTTTCGTAAAGGAAAATCAAGTCTGAAATTTCAAAGTGGAAATTGCAAACTTCATAAGCCTTTTTAAACCTAAAAAACACTACAGGTTTTACAATTGTTACATTGCAGGAAAGTTCTCCCACAACAGGGTGATCTGTAGTGCAGATCTGAAGATAAGATTTGGCCCAGAATGTCCAAGCTAATGTCAGGTCATCATCCTTACCGGCTTCTCCAGTAGACCTAGTGGTGTAATTTACAATAAGACTGCTCAGGGAGGCCTATATGAATAGATGTAATCCTCTGTGGCTTTCAAAGGAGAACAGAGACAATCATGTAAACAATCTGGAATGTTAAATTCCATCATATATCATTTTTGTGTACATTTTTTCTCAGTTAACATATTAGCAAAGGTGCTTTTCAATCATGCCATTCGCCTTAATAGCGAATGGCAGACCAATTTAATTTGACAATTTAACTTGCCCCTTGCATTATGCTTATAAGGCTTAAAG